GAACTTTCAGAGGCGTATGTGCCTGCCTGTCGCGTCCATCCCCCTAAGTCCAGGGAAACAGAGTCAGAAGACACTTGCTCAGCTGTACCAAGACATGAAATACTTCTGCAGTGGCCCTGAATTTACACAGGAACCTATAATATGTTCTTTCCCTGGACACAGAAGGATTTGCCAAGATGCCAACTCCAGGATTATCTTCTATTTCAGTCCTCTGACTCCCCAGCTCGAGCCTCCTGAATCTTACAGATATATTCCCACATGGAACCAACTGCCTAAAGGGTCGTTATTAAAAGCTGAACAAATACAATTAAGTTTATGTAGTAAAAGAAGTAAAAAATCCATATTCAAGGCTTCCTTCACTGCGGTAGACATGTTTAGTACTGTCCCAGCATTACAAAGCATACTTTGGTGTCAATTGCAGAGCAGCTCCTCACCTTCTAGTAGCCTAGCACTCAGAAGTACTGTGCACCTTACTGAGACCCCAGAAACCACAGCAAAACAAAGCTGATCCACCCAGACCTCACAGTTCACCAACAGGCAACGCAGCACTAAAATACCACTTCTGAAACTCAAATTTAGATTGGACACAAGGAAGAAATTTTTTATGATGAAGGTGGTGAGGTACTGGAGCAGCTTGCCCAGAGAGGTGGTAGCTGCCCCATCCCTGGAAACATTCAAGGTCAGGTTGAACAGAGCTCTGAGAAACCTGATATGCTTGGAGACATCCCTCCTCCTTTTAGAGGGGTTGAACTGGATGACCTTTAAAGGTCACTTCCAACTCAAACTACTGTATGATTTTACAGCTCTAAGCACCAATTTTTCCAAGGGAAACAAGTGAACAACCTCTATAAACTGGTGGCTGTAGTCCGGAATTGTTCTAGGAAGACTACAAGTTTAAGAATTCCTTGAACACTCATTCATAGTGTACTAAAAGAACCAGCACAAAACAAAAGGGGAAAAACATTTGGTTAAGTTTGTCCTAACCAAAAAGGGCACCACTCAGCAAGTACTACTCCTCCAAATTTAAGGCAGAAAACATATAGAGGGTAAGGCCAGACTTATCTTGAATGGGGTAGAGGGAAGACAAAGCAGTCTCCTTGATAGTTCTACCATCAGAGTGAAATTTTAACACCCGACTTCCAGAAGTATCAACAGCAACAGGTTAACAGCCAGAAGCTTAGAAGGCCCAATTACAAACACACCCCCCCAGAAGGGCAGAGGAGTGTTGCAGACCCATAGGTAGAGTGCTGTCTTATAAGCAGTACCTCCAATATTCCACTACAGAGACACTGACTGACTGCAGCATGTACCTTTACTGGACTATGTATTCAGAGGTTTTGAGAGCTGTGATTTTAATTATGCTGCTATTCCTAAAACAGTTCGTGTACATATAAAGATACTTCCTTTTCAACTGACACTGTATTTTACAGTAACATTTTTTTTAAATGTAAAACCTGTCCTCATTAGGATACTTACTAGAGCATCGCAACCCTAAGCTAGAAGAATGAACAACCCCTTTTCACGTTTATCTTGAGCACCAAGTATATAGAGTTTCACACTGCTGGGGGGGGGGTGAGGGGAATTACTCACCATAGCTAAAGCCAGAACAGTCACTGGGGCAGCACAAAGGCCTCTAAACTCAGCTGATGACTTCTTTTAGAAAAAAGTTACAGTGAAAGCACGTTTTTACTCACCCCTCTCCCCTTCAATAAATTTTGGTCAAGTTCACTCCAAACTTCAGAGTAGGGATGAAAAAGTATGAAGAATCCATTTAGGTTGTAAAGCTACCAAAGCTTTTTCTTGAGACGCATGTCTCATCTGAAGAAGCCCTGATACTTACTCTTTATTGTTTGGATCTTTTTTTTCCTTTTCTCTCAGCTACACTGAAAGTGGTAGACATTAAAGCTTTTAAATTGTACACCTATCCTAAAATACTGGTCTACCAAGTCATTCCTCCCAAGGAATATAAATCGTATACCTGTTAGAGGACTTAAATCTGTTCCATCAAGGCAAGCAAAAGAAAACCATTTGAAATCAAATTAAGGGAAAATTCTTTTGTTTCTTTGTAGCATCTAAGAATAAGATCACCTTCACGCAAGACAAAAATTAGCATCTTGCTTTAGCACAGAAATACCTAGAAGGAAAATGTATTTCCATTTTCACAGGGAATTAAGTGTCTGTGCCAGACAATCATTCTAATGGAGATCCAACAACACCATCTGGCTGACTGTCTCGTTCCAAGAATAATTCTGTCAGGTGAAAAAGCTTGTTTAAAAAAAAAAAAAAGAGTATGAAAAGGCCACAGCACTAAACAGCTCACTGGGACACTTCACTTAAGAACCATAAAACAAGTGTCATAACTCTCTAATACCAAGAAAAATATAATGCTTGCATTTACTATCCTGTATGAACAATTGTTTCTTTTGATAAAACGCTGTCTTACTATTTAAAGGAGACTTTATGCTTTTGGGTCCCACGCAACACGTGTACTCTGTGTGAGCAAAGGCAGATCTACAAGAACTCACTACTGCCTACTAGTTCACAACCAACACAGTCCACTTAATACAGGAGGTACAAATTTGCAAGAAGCTCCAATTGTGCACCTATTTTGGAAATGCCTTCAGCTACAGCCATATTAAACAGATGTTTCAACTTTCTGAATGCAACACGAAAGAGATTTACCTACTGTTTTTGTGTTATGCTTATAGGGTACTTCAGAAGAACATTAAAAATGCAAGTTCTTAGTTGTAACTTGTTACTTTTACTGGCATATACCACAAAATGTACAATTCCCAGATGGGAATAAAAAAATTGGTTTCCTACGGGTGAGAAATGGCAAACAAAACCAGCACAACATGATCTAATGGAAGAAAATAAATGGCACTCATAAGGGCTGGGCTATGCATTTCACTGTGATAAGGCTTCTCAGCATGCCTGTAAGAACAGAATGATACCCATCATTCCAAACATACTGAACAATCAGCTCACTCACCAGATGGTCCTACGGGTAACACTTGGTCAAATAAACATAAAACATGCACTCTATGTTGGTATCTTCTGTTTTATCTTTTCTTTTGGTGTTGAGGCTCTTCAGTGACAACTACACACAGGCACTTTGTGTTTTCTTATAGCTACAGCATAAAGCCTTCCAATACATCCCAGGGCAATCAAGCCAACTAGAACACTAAGCCAAAATGAAATCTGCATTTGCAAAGAAACAATTACCTTTATCAATAAACTGACATCACAGCTTTAACAGCCCAAGTAGACTGTTTAAGTACTTAAAGTTAGAAAGGGTCTTGATATTCAGAAAACTCCAGAATTACTCTTTTGTTAAAAACAGTTTAACAGTGTAAGACTGAAAACTTATAAAGAAGATGGTAACACAGAAGTGAAGTATGATCAAGCTACTATGTTTAAAACAATACTCGGAGAAAAACACAGCAAATTGGTATGAGAAGACTTAATATAGCATCTTTAGTGACATGAACAGTCTGAGCAGAGAAGAGATTAACAGCTTTGCTTTTTCAGAACAATTTATGCAGAGTTGTGCCAATGTTCTGATAACAAAGTGGCCCCAAAGTCTATAATCATTTCTACCCCCCAATCAATAAAAAAACACCCAGAACATTCCTGAGAAGCAGTCTTTGGACATTTTTCATGCTGCAGCCATATTCCCTGATAGGTCCAGGTCTGCAGCAACTCGGTTCCCTTGTCACTATACACTTCACGAAGATCTACTTCTGCACAAGTCTTTTCCTAGCTATTACTGCTTCTAAACCTTCTGAAAGTTTGAAGCTGGACACACAATCTTACTCAAACTCACACACACATCCTCAACAAGAGGCATAGTTTCCTTTTTAGTCTGGAGAGATTGAGGTGTTGGAGTAGGAGAAAAGCAGACTACGACCCAACATACATACAAGACTGAATACAGTTCAGTTCTACTCTTTCAAAACCACAGCTAGTAGCTATTACATAATGAAGTTTGTTACCACACATATGTAGTAACCAGAATTCTCATACAGGGTAATAAATCTTCACTAGCTACAACAAACTTTTATTATGCTGTATGTCATTCTCAATGTAGATTAAAATTAACTCTAGTATTATATTAGGATGTCTCTAGACGTTTAGGAAGCCAAGTCAAAATAAAAATTTCTTTTTATTGTTTCAAAACATGACTAAAATCTACATAATTATTAAAATACTTACAAATATTCTTTGATTAACAGTTTGCATCACAGAACAAAAGCATATTTTAAATGCAGTTATCTTCTCACAATTTTAACATACAGGTATTGCTAAAATTTTTCAAGTAAAAAAGCATACTCTACTGAGCAGCCAATACAGTTAATTACATTCTTGCATCGTAAGTTACATATAAGAATTTTAGGATTGTCTTAATTACTTTCCCAAAACTAATAGTGATGCTCAAGACTGCAGGTACATAAACATGTCATTAATAAACATAACCACATTGATTACATAGTCTAAAGACAACCAGGACTTAAAGGGCTTCAGCTGAGTTACAACTTGATGTCTTCTGTTCCACTGATTAAGAGCTTAGTTTTAAAATAACAACCTCTTGGGCAAATAACTGCTTCCATTTTTGAACTGCAAGAGGTAACTGGTCAGTATTAGTCACTCGAATCTTGGTTTAAGAAAAACTAAGTGTAACATGCAAACTGTACCTTAAAGCTCCGATGAAAATCCACATGCAAACTATCCAACAGTGTTTTTCCCATGTAAACTCCTTAACATTCCAGTTAGTTATCAGGGGAAGCATGCAAATGATTAATAAAAACTGGAGGCTTGTCAACTCTTACAACTTTAAACCTCAAACTACTCAGGCAAAACCAACTGTATTGGAACAGACAGAACATGACCACAAACTTCAACCTGAAGTAACTTTCAAAAACATTATACTGTATATACTGCTAAACTGAACTGCAATAACATCAAGTTAATAAATTTAGATACTTTAAAGTCTTTGTTGATCAAACACTTTTGAGTACTGCTCTTCCTTTTCTGAAGTGATGCGCCTTCCTCTCCTGGAGTGGGGTAGGAGAAAAGACAGGAAAGAAATTTCTAGATAGCAATCAGAATAAAGCAACTGAAGTTTCATGAAAAGTATCTCAAAACATTCTGTACTCTATCCATCCCTCACCAAAACTGACAAATACAGCTTCCGCGTTCCTGCTTCAGAGTACATGTGTCTAGTTCACATGTCCGTCCTTTTAAAAACAAGGAAGCAAAGTCTCAAATATAATCAAAAACAGAAGTTAAACACCACTTGGAACATAATCAGAAACTGCAATTCTACAAGGACTGAACACATACAGCAAAAGTGTGATGAGCAGCTATACCAACATGGACTACAGTTTATTAGTTTGAGCACACACATTTTACAGAAAGTATGAAGACCCCACACCCACAGTGAGTATTTAACTGGTGTAAAGACTACCCAGGCTCAAACTCAACATCCTCTATCCAAACTAGGGAGGTAACTCACTGCCCTTTCAGCAATTTGTCATTGAAAAATTATCAGCCAGTCTAATGCTTTAAGTGTTTATGAGTTGACCGTTCAGCAATTTTATGCAGTGTTGTATTAAATCCACAGAATCAAATTTCAGCACTTGTTTCCAGCATTAAGCAACTGAGAGCCAACCAAACTCACAGATTTCACAGTGCATGTACAAGAAAGCAAAAATTCAAAAGGCATTCCAGATACTAATCCCTTCACTGTTATGGTATCCTGCAGGTGAACAAATTGAACATCAGTGGTGTTTCAGGGATTTAATTTTGCTTTCACTACATACCTTAAAGTAGTCTTCTTGTGATACAAAGGTGTTTCTCAGACGGTTCCCAGGATTAAACAGACAGGATACTACTGTTTGTATGCTCCTGTCCACAGACTTCTGAAATGCAGTTACAGGTGTTATCTGTAACAATACTAGTGTTCTTGGTTAGCCCACTACTAGCAGTATGGGTGTGTCACTGGGTTTACTTTGCATTTAGGATTCGTCTCAGCTGCCTCACATTTCCTGAGGCCTTTGGGTTTTTTTTTCCAGACCTTTTAGCCTTAGTAACTCATTATCACCCTTAGTGTTACTTACAATATCACAGTTCTGATAGTGACATGCCAGTTCAATTGCGGAATAGCTTGACAGCTGAAAAATTAAGTCTCCTTTAGAAAGTTTAATTCAGAGCCAACTGTTGGCCAAACTGGGGTCACCTTCCACAAAAGAAAGTGAAGAAGGAAGTAAAATGTTACCAATTCCACTGTTTGAAGCTTAAAATAAATCTGCAGAAGATAGCAGACAGTGCTACCTAACCTCCTTAATACCTACACTTTCCTCTATAATTCTCAGATTAAGTAAAGCCTTGTCACTTAACACTGTTGTATTTCATGAAGTAGAACACATTTTATACATCCCTCAGCACTGTATATAGACAAACACTAATAGTTGCAAGGACACATGAGACTTCTGAAGCTATATACAGAAATCAGATACAGAGGATTGAGCAATTGGCTAAAGCAGCAACTATAACCTTCATTTCTAGGATACTGGTCAGAGGCCTTCAAGCCACCTAATCCTCTTGTGCAAATTTCTGGGACTAGAATTTATGACAAAAACATACTGAAGTTTTGAAAAAGCACTTGCCTTTTGCGGACTGTTAGTAGATGACTGCATGGGCTCTGGAACAGCACATTCTGTCTGCATAAATTCTGGATCCTCAGTGCAGTGATAGCTTACTGAAGTATAAACCTGTATAGTTTTTAAAAAATTGCAGTGTTTCAGTAACACTGGGAAAACATGCGCAGTTCGGTTGTCATTGGTCCTCACCTATCCATGAACTATGCCAACTTTATCTTCACTAAGTTTTGGGAGTGGGGGGAAATAATATATCCTGATCCATTTTAAGACAGTTCTACTTCCTTCAAAAAAAGGATATATTAGAAGTGTCTTTTCTCCCCACTGTAACCACCCTTGAGAATTAGCTCTTCAACCTACTTCCTTCATGTACAGGTTTTGCAATCAAGTGTATTGAGCAACGAAGGCATTCACTAAGAATGAGACAACCAGCAGGTAACTTCAAGACATTAAGCACTGAAGTCAGATAAAAGAAGGGGAAGCAAAACATCTGCTACCACTGCCTTTCCAAAAAGCTGCTTTCCTCGATACACTTCCTTTCTTGTTTTAAGCTTCCTTCATGCCAATATACTGATTTTTTTAAGATGTAAAGAGGTCTAGAAATGCCCAAGCCATTTTACAGCCTTTCTAAAAACTCTCACCACTTCCCTCTGCTTGCAGTGCAGTGTTATAACCGGCAACACAGTGCAGAGTTTAATTAGAATAGTAAAGAGGCTGATAAAGCAGTTACTCTTTATGGAAACATCCTTCCAGATGCTTCCAGAGAGGATTAGCAGCTTTTTAGCCAATTTTACCAAGATCAACGGCAGGGTTAAGCATTCTCACTTTTCAGGAGCGAAACTTTTTTCCTCAAAGCACTCAGATTTACCCAGACTTGACAGTAGTTTTCAGTTTCTCACAACATTATTAAGGATGTTATTTGTGATTATACACAGCAACCACTACGCATACCAGCTGACACTCCTAAAAGGCCTTGAACACCAAAACTAATTTTAAGCTGACTGAACTGGGAGATACGGAAGCCTACAGTGTTAGGAGACTATTCCACTCTGAGCACCATCCCTAACCATCAAAAGGTGTATTGTATCTGACCTCATCACAACAGGGACATTCCATTTATGAATGGAAATTGTCATCCACCAAACAAATGGGTAGGTACAAAGCAGTAGACTGAAGGATGATGTTTCCCACCTCCTTATGTGTCTGTCCTCTTTTGAGTCTGTAAAGAATGAACTTAAAAGTTGCTTAGCTGAGATAGTTCTAAAAAAGCTTTCAAGCTTAAAATGTCTGATCAAAATCATCATGCACAACTACCCTAAAAACTCTCTGACATGCTACTATTTAATTGTTAAGTGATCTACTGCAGCTGTTATCACGTTCATGTACATTATTCAACAATAACTATTTCAAGCCAACAAGGTAATCAGTATTTCAGTGACTTCTGAACACTTTCCAGTCTGTTTCTTCCCCCATTAAAGCAAACATAATTATCACTAAAAGAAATACAGACTTTCCATGAGGCTGCTTCTCTGCAGAGAAGCTGAAAAGTAAAGCCTAGTACATGACTGGAAGTGAGCAGGAATAAAGTATTCTTCTAACATGATCAGAGACAGAATGTTAGATGCATGCAGGCAGCATTACACATGCACAAAGTTTCATTTTCTTCATTTTTTCCCCCCCATTTACCTTCCACACATTCCAGACATCTGGAATACCATTATTACAGCTTTTAAAGACTTAATAGAAACTGTACTTAATATACACAAGACTATACCCAAAGAACACAAAAGTGCCTAAGATACACATTTAAGTTCCAACACTATTAAAGAAATACACAGTATTTTTCCTCCCTTGTGGATGTCACTTGTGTAAAGTCACAGAAATCACGTAATCTCTTTAGAAGCCATCAGCACTATCTACAGCTGTTGAAAGGAGCCAAAAAGATATCACTATTTGCAAAGCAGAGTGTTTTGAGGCTTTTTAAATTCTAAAAAATTTGGGACAGTAAGAAGTAATACTATACAGATCTTGTAAGTCAGGACTGTGCACCAGGTCACCACTTCTCCTTCAACTTCTCACGAGAAACCAATTATGTTCATGTTAAAATTCCAATTCTGTGACCAGAAGATGCAGAGTAACACCCTAAAAACAGTCAGTTCTGTTCTACCAGATACCTCCTAAAGAAGCAGCATGTCAGTAGGAAATCAGTAATTACCTACCCTGTTAGCAGCTACAGATTTCTATAGACCAGATCTAATACAGATCCAGTCAAACAACAGTTTCGGGTTTAAGTATCAAGCTATCAAAACAGCGTGCTAACTGAGGAGACAAAGTTCCAGAAGTTTAATTTTGTAGACTTACCGGAGGCATAGCATAATTTCTTTGCTCCCCAGCAAGCCATTGTGGTTGAACCTTAAACAAGAATTAGACAAGAACCAGCTTTTATTAATTTCTAACACAGGCAAGTAACCCTCTTTAAGCGCCACCATCTATAACACTTCACGTCTGGATTTTTCATTAAACAGTAGTTTACAGTCTTCCATCCAGCAAGATCACTTTTTCACATGTACCTCATGTGGTGTTTGGCACAAGGTAATCCTTACCACAAATTCAACTACCTTGTTCGTCTTCTCATTCCAAGTTTAAAAAAAAATAAAAAATAAGATTTCTAAAGACTATGAAAATAAGGGGAATCACAGCAGCCACACTGAAAACATCTCAAACACCTCGTTACTTTGAGTGACTAAACCAATTCTAGTTTAGTTATTGAAACTTGCTCACACATTTCACTTGGCTGATAGTGACTTTTGAACTCGTGCCTTCCCAGACACTTTTAGTGCTCAAGAGCACACCCCCTCTAGATATACATCCTGTATTTATATATAATCTGGGAAGATTCAGTGATTCTGTTTCAAGCAAAGATTAACTGCTCGCACTACAGCATGTAGAAATGCAAAGCTCCTTCCCACAAGAAAAGAGTACTACTGATCCATCTACTTTTTGTTAATTTCAAACTTATTTTATCATTGCATATTCTTAAAAAAAAAATCAAACTAAAAAGAATATGCTATGTTATTCAACAGTTTTCACTGCATTAGAATAAAAATATCACTAATTTTGTTTTTACTTTTGATTTCTGTGAAGCAGGTGCTGAGGGAAATAAAAATCACAAAGAGAAACATACAAAGATCAGACTCCAGTTAACACTGTTCATGCCATTCAAGTTTCGCCAGTACCAAACAACCTTTCTGCTGCTACTAAAGAATTACATACCTGATAGCTGTAGGCTGGCTGGTATCCTACAGGAACTTGCTGCTGTATCAATACAGCTGGTGAACTATATGGGTATGTCTGCAAATCAAAGCTTTTTTTAAAAAATGCAAGTTCGAAGCAAGATAAAAGTATGATATTTATAAAGATATTTATGAAGCCAGTAGCACATTTTTAGAAATACATAGTCACATCGTTCCTTTGATTCCTGTTTCAGAGTAGCTTCATTGTTTAAAAGCAACCCTTATGATTTCCCATGGAGCTTCAGCACTTCAGGCACTAAAAATCTCAAGAGGGATTCTGAGTGTATTATTATATACCTAAAAATCCCACATATACTTGTAGCTGATCTTTTAAGTCATTTTAGAAGTACAACTCGTCCCATAAACTTTCTTAAGTAGACCTGAAACAGACCAGCTACCATGAAATAATGGACTACAGCCGGAAGATCAGTTTCTTGGAGCCAAAAGCAATTTAAGTATTGCAATTCAGACAATTTCCCAACATTTCTTCACAGCAAGTATTTTCACACAACGTTAACCTGGAACCTTCTCAGCTTCTTCAAAGAATAGTTAAAAGGCACCATCCCAGCATTTAAGAGAATTAGTTCCTCCTACACTACTTCACACTCCAAATAAACTCAAGGCAATCAGCAAGAGTACTACTATCAAGCTCTCTGTCTTAGAAAAAAATACTTCTGAGAGTCACGAGTTTGCTCATCTTCATTTGCTTAAGATACACAAAACAGAATCGGTTTGCAATTAATATTGCCCTGTTGTACTGCCATATCATATAGGGTTAATACTGGCAGAGACCATAATCTGGGAAGTCTTCTGTTCACAGTACAGTATTGACAAGGGCAGAAGTACTCTGCCTGCACCTCAGTTAGAATGCTTATCTGAAGTACCAGTAAAGTGGTAGGCATACTGTACTGGTCACATCTGTCGACAGCTGATGCCATAACAGTCATCTTTAAGACACAACAGCAGTTCAGAAACAAGAATTTGTTGGGGAAAACAGAGAGGTGGGCAGGCAGGGTACCACAGCCAACTTCTGGTTTTATACAAGATAGATTTTAGAATTTGTGGTTTACTCTGAGGCAGGGCAGCAGTACATTAAATACCTGGATGCATTTAACTTGTGAAATGCACCTGTGACAAGTAACAAGATCATTTAAGAACTGTTATGTAATTAAATCTTAGCTCCACCTTGAACAGATTTCTCATTGTCAAAAATAAAAAGTATCTCCCTGTTATTTACACAAAGAGATCACATCACTGAATGAGTTTTTCAAGGCTGCTGACATTCTTTTGAAGTTGGGCACTTCTTACTGGGGAAGGCAGTATGAAAACAAGCGGGTAATGCAAGACTGGAAACTCAATACATATTCTTGAAATTGTATGTGCTTGCACCTTCAAATATATTTTATTATGGTTCAAAATCTGTAGTATGAACTGTCTTACCTGGACATATTGTGTTACTGGGCTCATTACAGCTGGAGGCTGCACATACGTCTCTGTATTTTGACTACCCCATACACTATGGAACTGTGGTGCAGGAGGATTGAAGACCAATGGTCTCGGATGCATGTACGAACCTTGTTTTAAAGAAAAATAAAGAATTCAGACATCTTCGCATGTACTTCATTAGTATCTAAATTCAAGCTGCAAGAAATCTTAAGTGTTTCGACTCAATTTAACTCAACATTCAGTATACCGTATCGTGCTACCAACCTGAGTTTTATTATCAAAACTGTACAACATCACACAAGTAGCGAGGTCAGAATTCAGAATTGAAGTTTAATTGTAATGTATTCCATAAAATAACAAGGATTTACAAGGATGGTAATGTATAATTCAGAAAAAAGCTGTAATACATACTTGTAACATGAACAAGTTTGTTTACATATACTTACACAAGTTTTGTTGCTTTCTGATCGCTGGGCCCAGTTTCAGCTTTTTGCCATGGAAGTTGATTTGTGACTGAAAGACAGGTTATTCTGTAAGCTAAGCAATCCGTTGAGGTGGGTGGTTGGTTTGATTTTTAGAGATCGTACTATGCTTTTACACCACTGTATCATCAACTTACATCCAGACTCTATAGCCTACATTCTCCTCTGCCACCTCAACACCTTATGCCTTTTACGTTTAGTTTCCTGCAACACTAAGCACACCCATTTGCCTACTCACCGACCTTCCAAATCTATTATGTATCACTTGCCTTAATAGTAACATGTACTAGCAGTAGTTTGCAACTACACATAAGTGACTGTCAGCTTTCTGGTTTCACACAGATTCAAAATATTCTTGCCTCAGTAAGGATACTGATGCAGAGTGACCATAGTCGGGGTTCCCCTGAAACCCTATTTACATCACCACTTAACAGGCTTCACGTAACACGTTAGAAGCTGTCTACCCAATATTAAAGGAAATGGAATACTGCCTAAGCACTATTGTTTACCTGTATGTTACTGTGTTCTCCCTAGAGAAATTTTCACATGTTCCTTCACAACATCCAAACATGCTGATATTTAAATTTTTTTTTGCTAGAGCATGTATGCAGCACACAGATTAATCAAGAAAGAGCGCAACTGAAATACAGTTCACACGTTCCTCATATACCCAAACCCAGGAATACAAGCATCTGAAGGACTTGCAAAACAGAGCTGGAAGCACTCCTCAGCAGTCAAAGGTCTGAGACACCTGTAACTTCTCATTCTGCAAGTTCTGCCCAAACACTAGCTCACACAGAAGGCAGAATTTCAGACTTTCAGTGACTGAGTACTGCTTTGCCAGCATGGTACCTGAAGGTGTAACAAAAGCACAGGAAGAATTTCAAGCACCCTCCCCCTCTACAGAAGTTGAATTCTGTGTTCTTCAGCGAAACTGCTTAGCCTTCCCCACACTTCAAAGTCTATTTGGACTGACTGTAGAGAAGGGCCTGTAAGATTTTGCAAGATTACAGTTTGAGTCTAGAGCATAGAAAGTTGTTTTAATACATGAATTAAAGCAGATTAATGTTTATTCAGGCACTCGAACTTCTCCACATAAGAGAATTCACCTTGGGGTCTGATCTCACCTTCTCTGCCAAGATGGTGACATGAAACATGTTTATCTACCTATGAAGATGCACATAGCACACATGACACTACCTAAACTACTGTTACATTTCAGAGGGTAAACTGCGGTTTATAAATACTTCCACATCAGAAGCTGAAAGATTTTTGGTTTACCCCAACTACCAAAAATTTAGCACCAAGTATTAAAAGTAGTATTAGAGAATCTAGATAGACTATGTATCTGCATCTATCTCATGCAACACTAAGGACTTGCCTGCTTCAGAAGATAGGCAATCTGTAATTTTAAGAGACACCTCGCTTTTTCTCCCTTTTCTGCTACAGGAAGTGCTTTGAACAGGTAACAGCAACTTTATTGTTGACTGTAAAAATAAGCAAAACCAGCAGAATAATAGTGATATAAAAAATGTCCTATTTGATCATCTTCTCATACTGATACAAATAAAGTAAGATGTGGGTGGAAAGAAAGGTGAAATACCCTGACCAGTCTGACACGCATTTTGGTTTTTTTTCAGTTGATTCTTTAATCCTGTGGTGCCCAGAAGCATGCAACCATCTTTTTCCATCTGAACAATGAGAGCTCTTGGAGCAGCTCCTGGCCTCCCCTCAACGCAGAAGGTAGCTTTCTCTTCTGAACTGTAAACAGGTTCAGTCTGGACCAGAGCGCGGTTACAAACGGAATCACAAGAAAAATACTTCCAGGCTGCACAAAGCCACAGAGTTAGGCAGGTAAACACAGGCACCTAGAGCGATTTCAAGCATGAGACGCTCTACCTTGTTCATTTACAAATAAGGTGTGGCCACTCAGTACAGATAAAGACTGAAACAGCTTAGTGAGGCAACCTTTGCTCATGACTTGAGCTCTAAAATGAAGATGTTCATTCTTTCCCTTCTTCCACCCCCTGCAGAAGCCAACAGCTTTCTCTGCAAAATGATTATCCACACTCCTTCCTGACAAGGCAGTAATTTGTGCCACACACCTCTGGGTCTGAGACCTCTGGTATACAGAGTCACATCAGTGAGGGCTTTAAGTTTTGAAGAAATTCACATAGAAAACTAGCAGTGTACTTGGCTCAAACAACAATGCTACTGCAAAGGTGTCTGCAGAGATTGTTACTTCAGAGCAAGCATTCCACACTGATCTAGTACAATAAATGTAACTCATGGTAAAAAAAAGTATTCTCAGAAAAGGCTGTTGCTCAATACCACAGTACTTCTGTCAGCGTACCACGAAAGCTAAAGATCAGCAAGTTTTTGAAGTCTTTTGGTGAGAGTCAAGAACCTCCTGCTGGAGTTTCACTGCCTTCCACTTTGAACAAACGTATTCTCCAGCCCCTTAAGAAGCTAGATAGCAAGTAAACACATCTGAACATAGCACAGAACACTAAATTTGTGCCTAGCACATCTATCTGTACTTGTCTTTCAGATCTACTACCCTATCCAAGAGCTTCAGAAGCTAATGAGAGACATTCATCCTCCAGAGACATGGGAGTTTTCACAGGCAAAGACTTCAGAGAGGGAAACATTTCAATATGTTATTTCCAGTTATTGCAGTCAGTTGTGGGAGAAAGATTCAGATTTGAAATTTCTCTGATGCTGCACTCTAAGAGCAGAAAAGCTGTAACAGTTCTATCCCTTTATCTCCTGTGTGAACTACAGGAAAACTGTATGACATGTAAATAGTTGCATCTTCTAGTCAAGTAGGCTTGAAAAATACTTCCACTCCAAGTAACATCCAAATGCACAAATACTGCAAGAGAGAAACATATACTTCAACTGCTGACACTTCAGTAGAAAAACTAATCCTGGTTTCTATGTTACTGTTATTCCCAACAACAACACTGACAGGTCTGCGTATCTGCCATAAGCACAAGAATTCTATGACAAACATGCAATATAGAACACAAGCAGCCAAAAACACAGGTGAGGCTTTCAAGCACATAAATAAACAAGAAAAACCAGAAATAAATCTTGAGACATTCAAGCACACCAAAGCTAAAACTAATTTTGTTTCTTAATACACAGAGATTCTACCAGCAGTAGAGATTTTTGCAAGTTTAGTTTTTGGGCAGCCCTAGAGTTTCCGTGTCCCAACTCACTCTACAGGGTACGTGACTTGATTTCCCCTGAGCATGTTTCCAGCCTTCATATATTAACTTCTTCAGACAAAGAGCTTACTTCTACTATTTTCTGAACATCCACATTGTCCAGGAAAGACACAAATCCATACCTGAAAAGAAAAAACAGCTTATTCAATAGCCATATTTTGATTTGTTTGTTAGCTAAAGCACTTTGAACAAGAACAGTTAACAGCATGTATGCCAGGTACATTATACGGCATGCCAAAAGTATCAAGTAGGGTATTAGTTTATAACTCAGCATGAAAATGTGTTTACTGCTAACTAGCAACATACATTACTGGGCAAGATGAAAGGAATTGAATGCCAGATTCCAGAACAATACGAAATAGATGCAAGGGCTATTATTCCATTTCAGCTACTCAAAATAAGCACTACTGTTGATATTACTGAGAAAGTAAAAAACCACACTCTTAAGTACTAAGATCTGAATTATCATCAAATTTTGTATTCACTACACAGGTTTAGATGACAGCAGGTATTACAGGGAAGAGTGACACCAGTGGGGGCAGTGATCCTTAAAGAGGTTTTTCACTTTATTTCACCGCTCCCCTAGTTTATGTAGTCTATAAAATTAAGACAATTTCAGAGCATTATAGCAACAGTTTTGTCAATCAATGCAGAACGTCAATTCATTATCAACACTCAGAACATACACTGGCTAACTGCGTATCAGAATTCATCACGAAGACTAGCAAGGGATATGAGGATATAAAACAGATTTCCAGCTCAGGCATTACTACATGTCCAAGAAAAGCCATGACTTTTTAGGATCTATTCATAGAATCTTAGGAAAAACAACTGGGCTGGAAGGAACCTCCATAGGGTAAAGCCTCCTTCTCAAAGCAGGGATAACTTCAGAAGTCAGAGAGCTTCCCCAGAACTCAACAAGCTAAGGTCCTACACATCCTTATTTAAGTGTTTCACTACAGACAATTCAGAATTTTTCTACACACTCAGTAGGAATTTCCCTTGCTTCAACTTTGTTCACTTACTTAGTTTCACTCTTCATCCAAATGAGTTGTTTTCTCTGTAACTTACCCCGAGTGTCAGAAGCGTGTAGTCCCACTGCTCTGAATAAATCATTTACTCCCTATCTCAACCATGCTGCACTCTCTCCACATTGTTAACTACTCTAGCCATCAGAAGAGTCCTACAAGAGATCTGCCTGCACAGGCATCACACAAGTTTTAAGCTTTGTTTCCACTGGTTAAGCGACAATAACCCTCTTTCC